GAGGCAGGCGGGTGCCTGGGATGCCTGCGTATCGGGAGTCCTTGCCTGTAGGGGTATTTGGCTAACGGTGGTGTACGGGGGAAAGACCGTTCGTGGATGTGTGAAAACTACTGTGAGATCCTTTTCAGGGAATTGTGGCAATAGGAGCGACAAGTTATGGATTGTTAAAGAGAAGCACGAAAGGCGGGGAAGGGTTTGAATTGGACCAGGAGATAAAAACATGGGAACGTGGAACGAGAAGTATGATGGAGAAGCTGATCACGTGTTGCCAATCGGTAGCCTTTATCTCTGCAGTCTGTCCTGTCTCACTAAACTCCCACGTCTATTTTTTTGTTTGACTAGGGCAAAAGAGCTCTCTACCCTGCATGCATGGCTAAATGCCAGCAACTGGCATCAGGCTGCCAGTCAAAGGAGCCACTGCATAATGGCTACCAAACAGCAAGTGGGAAGACTGGAGCATATGCAGTGCAGGGATGGGGCTAGGGTGGACTGCCAGTGCATGCAATTGCTGGTGAGCAACCCAATCTTGTAAGCAAGTCAAGCAGGGTAATGGGTTTTGGAGCTGGGTATCCGGGACCAGATACAGATGCGATAGGGGTTGGCAGGTTACTTACCTGGAGGGAGGTCTAAGCCAGCTTACTGGAGAAAACAGGGTGGGCATTTGAGTTGGCTTGTGGAAGTCTATATGGCTGGATCAGCTAGCAGAGATTAATTTCTCTCTTCCTCTCTAGTTGAGAAGATTTTTAGTGAGAGCAAGTAGAGTAGTATTGCGGACCTTTGGTCTTCACGTGTCCTGCTGCTGGAAAATCTAGCAGGTAGTCATTGCACAGACTGAATTTCTAAGGCTAGGTACTGAACAGATTCATAACGTTTGTGTGTGTACACACGTGTTTCTATTGTATTCTGCTGGGAGGGTTTGCAAACTGATCAGCTGGAGAGAAGGAAGAGGATTCGGCCACTCATACCATTCGTGTTTGACGGCTGTGTTTCCTGTGTTGATTGGCATGCCTGGATGTGTGCATTTTTGCTTTCTGGAAGTTCATTCCCAGCCTCATTACTGGCTCAATTCGGGTGCACGGTGGTGCAGCAGCTTTGCATCTATTAAGGTACTGGACTCGGACGTTGCTACCAGCGTCCATCTCGATGTCCCTGTCTTTGCTGTTGCATTATTTCACTTTTCCCTCTTGTTAATCTCATGCTGACTGTTTAGCCTGGTACTCCAACAGCTGTTATGTGTTTTTCCTATCAGGTAGGTAGAAATTCTGTGGTGAGCTATGGTGCCAGATATTGCTATAGAACCATTTGGTTTTGAGTAAAAGGTAGTGACAGCCTGCAAGGTCCTAGTTCCATGTTAATCTAAGGCTTTTACTGCTGTCCTCTGTTATGCGAGGACATGGCCATTCTTACTCTGCTAGCCTGCTCCGCTGTTCCACAAGGAAGGCAGGAAGTCAGATGATAAAGGTGTTCAAAAATAAAAGTGCTTTAGTGGGAACATTCCTGGTAGCTGTGAAAGAGGAAGGAGTCTACTGCAGACACGATCAGCCACCTAGCAGGGTTGAAAGCTGCAGAGGTGTATCATGTGACCTAGTTTCACTGTGTATCAATAGTCTTGACGCAGAGCACTGAAGGGGAAAGGGTACCATGTGTTATCTTATTCTCGGAGCGTTCCGAGTTTTGGATATGGTTCTATTATGTGTCACCCTATGCCCATGGACCAGAGACAGAATTGGAGAATCGAGGAGAGGATTCTGCTTTACTTGTTCTGCTGCACAGAATCTCACAGAAATTAGAGTTCCTGTTTTCTCTCTTGGGGAACAGTAACATGACTTAGATGCACAGAGATTTAATCTTTCCCCAAGTGCTCTGAGTAAACACTTTGGTTATTTATTTCTCCTCTGAAAAGTATTCCCAGTAACGATGATGTCCACATAGTAGTGACTTTTTTCTGTTGGCAGAATAGGACAAAAGCCTTCTGCACACACAAGAAAAAAAACAAAACAAAACAGTTCAAGGCTAGCCCATGCAGAGTAGTTGCTTGCATTTTGACAGGTGTCCTGAGGTTCTCAGAGGGCCGGGGTAAGATCAGTTGAATCATTTGGTCAGCAGCTGGAGAAAAATTGCCCAGTGGGTACAAATCTTTCCCCTTCTCTCTGTAGCATAGTCAGACGTCGTAAAACAAGCGTACTAGTTGGTACCGGATTGAAAATGCAATTGTGCTGCCCAGGACCTAGGTAAAAATCAGACAGACAACAGAACCGTTATAGCATTAAATAGTTGACGGGCTGGTAGATTCCTCCTTTGCAGACGGACTGGCTACACTTCTGTGAGGCGCGTTACCTCCATGCTCTAAGTTGCTTCAAAATGCTCATGCACCCTGCCCAGATTCCAGAAACCCCTGAGCCTCGTGCCATGCTAACCTGAGTCTGCCAGCTGGAGACAACTCTGGGACTATGTTATTTGGTACAACTGAAAAACCAGAACGTGGAAAAAGGCTGTATCAGGTTAGAGTGATGAGGCACTCTGCTTGCTTAATGTTTTTTTACATTCTGATGATTCATGCCTTGGGAATCTTCTCAAGCTAACCTAGGGACAAGGTATCTACTCGCTGTCAAAGAACAGGGCAGGGGGAGAAGGAGGAATCTATTTCCTCCTTGAACTGTGTAAACCTCTGACTCTCCTCAGGTTCCACAGCTTGACTGCCTCTTGTGAGAGGAGCATGCTACTTAACTTTCCCCTTTCCCCTTAAACTCGAAACCAATTTGGATGTGTTTACATTGCAGAGTACATCCTACTACTGAAGGAAACATGTCTGACCTGAACGAATAGCAACAGGAGAGTGAGATTTTGCTCGTGGATGGGCCCAATCAGCTTTATTACAAAGTTAATAAGCGTCATATTATTGCACTCGGTGTATTCGCCATCTTCATCCATTCCACTTCTCACATCTACTATGTGCAAGATCTTGACTGCCTGGAGAAAGAGAAATATTGCAGCATACTATTTTACCAGGTGTTTGGCACTTGCTGGCTGTTTTTGCTTGGGATCTTTTTTGCTGTACCATCCCTGAAGTCTGGCTTGTGCTTTTACTGAAAAGATGAGATGGATTTATGATGGTTCTGGGACCCTGCTATCTGTGGTTATTCTGAAAGATTAACCCGACTGGGCGACTGTGACGGATGGTGATTCTTGCTAAGCAGAGTATTTTCTTTGGGATTTGAACCAGGAAATAACTAGTGAACCCAGAAGTTCTGTATTCCCTCCTGTCACATTGCCCTTGCATTTGATGACTCCCTCAAAACACGTCTGGATTTTGAATGTTTAATGTTTTTGAATCTTACCTTCAGAATATTTGTTCCCAGGGCAGAAAGGTTCTTAGTTTTGAATTTGGAGTAGCTCATCTCCAATTTTCCTGTTTTAGGATTGAGCCTAAAAGAAACATGAAAATTTTAGTCCAAATAGAGCAAGGAGACAGAGCAATCCCTATGTAAGCATACTTAGATCCCTAGCAGAATAGTTGAGAAAGAGTGCTGGAAAAAGCAGAAATAATCCGATGCGCTTAACAGCTGCCGATACCTAGTCCCTCAGATTGGGCAGAGTTGGGAGGAGATTCCTCTGCCCCCAGGTTTTGCATAAAGCTGTACAGTTTTAAAAATAAAATAGAAGACGCTAACATCTGCAGAGGGCATAGTGCCAAAGAATGCTTGCTGCAATGAAGTCTTAGCAGATCCCACTAGTGATAGCATTAAAGGTGGCCTGTATCAATTTCTCTCAACTTTGCAGTTGAGAATAATCACATTCTAACATGGATAAAAATCACTCTTCTGTATCTGGGGGCACAGGGTGGTCAGAGACATTAACTTCTTGGAGAAGCCTCTACTATATGACTTCGCCATAGCTGGGGGAGTGAGCCAGATAACTTTTATTTATAAAACTTACTTGGATGATATTTAAAAAGATGTCAGAGACAACTACCACCTTTCTCAGCTGGTGCTGGAGATAAAAGGCACAATCTGTGGTATGTTAAATGTACCGTACGTTGAGTACGTTACCTTGGCAGCCGGTGACGGGGACAAGGAATGATGTGGAAGAGTTGAGGCAATGAGTAGAGGAAGTTGAGCACTTGTGGGATGAAAAAAAGCAGCATTGTTTTGCTGAAGTGCCCCAGGATCCCCACCACGGCGAAGGTCATGCCAGCAAAATAGCAGAAGGTGTCCCCAACAAACACTCGAGATGGGTACCTGCAGTCCACAGGGCAGAAAAGCAGTGTTCCATCACGATCGCTCTTGCCTCGAAAATGATTTTGTAACCGCTGAATGTGTTCCCACGTGACAGGTTGGAGGCCAAGAGGGAACCGCAGCAGTTCTACACAGTAAAAACAACAATTTCAGGTATTTATGCTAAGAAATGTGGGACTGGGACCTACAACATGACTCACAGAGAATACGGTATGGAAAAAAAGCTAGCAAGACACGTGAGGGAGCATATTCTGTGCATTTTGTGGAGCTGGCGGGACCAGAATTGTTCTGAAAAGCTACTGGTACATCGCTGCTCAGTGCGCTCCGTTCTGGCAAGCAGCGCCTGTCTACGCTCCAGCATCCTATCTGCATGTTGGTAAGTGGCTTTGTTTGAAAACAGACAAAGTAGAGGAAAAGGACGTTTCCAAAGAAATGCCAAATGTCCATCCTCTTACCAGTTGTGGTAAATCAGCCCCAGCGTGGTAAAAAAAAAGGGAATCATGAAGTAGAGAGAAAAAATGTGATCATCTTGGTAATCCCCTATAGGAAAAAAAAAAAAAAAAGGGCATCTGTGGTAAGACAGGACTGGATTTTTAGTAATACTAGACACTGAAATCTAGGATTCTATCTCAGATTGCTTATTGCACTGGCAAATGCAGGTTATCTTCCTTACCATTTAACTCTACAATGTTGAATATGATAATGGAAGCAGCTATCACCAGAGACTGCCCTGCTTCAATTCCATTAATTCCAGCGAGAATGTTGATGGCGTTAGTGCAGAACACTGCGAGCATGCCCATGTACACGTAGTAGAGGATACCTGTGGATCGGAGAGAGCCAAGTGCCATAATATTCATAGGTGAAGTGGGCCCTGGTCCAGTTCACCAAAGCTCTCACTTCCTGCTTTGTACAACAATCTGCTACACAGTGATCTCAGTGATAGCGGCAGCTCTCTAATGAATCGCTCCCTCTCCTGCGAACTGGCTGCCATGTGTATGCATACGTATGATGCGGCAACTGCAGCAAAATGTTGCAACATAGCAGCTGGCTGCAGCACTCCGTTTTGATCCCCTCATTCTGGTGTTGGCAGCCAACTGCTCTGAGTGCTTGGCATTTGACTGTATCACCTGGAAACCTGATTGGTGCCTATCTAGGCATGGCTGAGTGCAGGTTGGGTTTCAGGATCTTCTTTCTGGCCTAATACTTAGTGGGTGGAATTGCACCCTCTCAGTGGTTACTTAAGCAAATCCTTCGTGTGTTCCCTTTGCAGTGCAGGTGCATCAGGTGACCCCCTACCACCCTTTGCTTGCTGCTTGGATGATGGCTTCTGGTGATTTGTAACTCACCCAGGTCCAAGTGCATGCCCAGCAGCACCCGGAAAGGCTTAGGCACCACAATGGTTGTATTCCCAAAGTTGGTGAAGTAAACCATGAGCAGTGGCAGAGAGGCCATGGTAGGAAGAAGCAGCTTGTGGCGCCAGCGCAGGTTCAGAACGTCATCTGCAAAGCCCAGGAAAATCATGCAGCAGATGGCAAGGAGTGCACCGATGAGCTCCACAAACTGCAGGACAGAGAACGGGACCCGGATTACCGATGGCCACTCCCTGCCCGTGCCCGCTGCGCTCCCAGCACCAGGCGCGCTTCACCTCGTTGTGAGGAAAGGCTGTGCACTGCTCCTCCATGAAGCACCTCAAGAAGGGCACGGGGATGAAACAGAAGAGGATGATCAGGAACACAGCCCCGCTGATCACGCCCTGTGCTTCGGGGCTGGAAGGAAGGTAGGGTGGGGAGTCAGCCGGGGCCGGTCCTGGACCCGCGGCCAGTGCCGGTCCGGCCAGGAGGCGCAGCGCTACTCACACGGGGCGCCGCAAGGCCTTGTTGAGGTCTTCGCCGAAGAGCCGCGCGGCGAGGAAGTGCTCCTTGAAGGCCGGGATCAGCGTGAGCGTGGCCAGGAAGCCCAGCAGCGAC